CGCCATGTCAGACCGAGTGGCAACTTCCTCCTAACTCTTCTGTACACAATATTTCGTTCCTGACACTCTGGCCTTCCCAAGACTTCTATGGAACCGGGCCTGGAAGATCACTGCCATTAGGGTTAACCTTCTTAGCCTAAACACGCCTCGATAGGGCCTCTGACAACCTCTGAATTTCTGTACAGAATACACAACTTCTACTGTTGACTTTCACCTTCCTCGCAGAAAGTGAACTGGACTTGATTATTCTAGCGTTCTGGGTAAACTCACTGATTCGATTCCTACAGATCCTCAGCATTAGGCCTGGTTGGTGTATATTCCTTTTAACTGATATTATAATGCAGCGACACATTAAAGCAGTCAAGCGATTGGCTGATCGCATTCTTAGTCAGGTCGCTCACCCTTTTCCTCTGAACTAATGGCTGCGAAGTCTTCACGTACTATGCGCCGAAGCTTCCGTCATATGTCTTGCCTTATATCGGTATATCCAATTCCTAGCACGCTACCTGACGTGTGAAGAAACAGAAATTCAGAAGTTGAACGCCAACTTTTATCCATAACAGATGTGGATATCATGTAAAGCTTCAGACTTTGAGTATTCTGTGACTTTTTACTTTACCTTATCCGTCGCTCTCCGTGAATGGAGCCATTTTTTGCCGAAAATTTTGGATATTTACCTTCAAAATAAAGCTTTTCTCTCTCTCTAGCCATGGATTCTTTAGGGTTTGTGAAAATGGACGCTATTAAAACCCCGGATGCTTCTAGCAAAGGTTTAAACTTCTTGTTAATTAGTTTCGTTTGCCGCATAAATGTTGCAGACTTGTACACGAACCAGGACATAAGAGCCACGTCAAAAATTCTTACCCGGACGTTGGTAGTGCCAGGGAGCGTGAACGAACCGAGCTGGCGAGTTCGAATGGTTGTCTCGTTAAATATTTGGTCAAGAAAAGTCTCCAAAACCTTGACATCAAAGGGGTTGTCCATCCGACCGCCGTAGATGGCGTTGTTTAGGAGGCCCTTAATAGACTTCCAGATGCCTGAACTCACGGCCGATGAGGATGCCGATGGAGCAAACAGACGATCAATGACGTTTGCAGCGGCTCGGATATCCACAAAAGAGAACTCGTAAAATTTGGTCCAACCCTGGAAATAAAAAAATACAAGCGTTAGCTTACCGGTCGCGAATTCGACCGTAAGTGGCATAGAACGAAGAAAGTCAAATCATCCACTCCGTCGCCGTAGGATGGTGAGCCTAAACTTAGGCTATTCTTACTTTAACCAAAAGTCCGTTAAATACAACGCAGAATTCCGGCTGTTTAATAAAAATGCGTATCCGATGTAGCACCGAAGAGTTCCAAACAAAGTCCTTTCGGAGTCACGCTATTGGTGAGTCGTTCTCAGAACTGGAGTTCTTTTAACAAAAGAAGGACAAAGTTACTCAATATCATTCCTCACTTGTCTTTTTTAATCTATTTCCGTTTTTACCACTTTAATTGTTTTACTACATCTGCCACTAAACACCGGAGCCCAATTGTTTTGCAAAAACACGCAGGTTGGCATGGGCCACTTGTGTGAAAGGGCCTGTTTTTGGTTCAGATGCCTATCATTACGGTAGAAGTGTAATTTGTGTGCCAAAATCACAATTGTCTCGCCATTTTCTGAACCGTAGATCCTTATGTCTGAAAGTTTGAAAGACTCCCTGGTTGGTGGGGTTTAACTCTACTACCTGTCATCAAATATCCACTTAATCGCAGAGCCTACTCTAGGTTTTATTGAGTATTTAGACTCGAAAGGAGACAAACGGCGTTCTTAGGGGATATTGACTGGGCAGATTGCAGGCTGCATTGGGACATGACCACTCTGCACTGACATCTCGCATAACGATTGAGCGTCTCTTATATACAAAAATATTCTTGAAACTCTTCATCTGCCTATCATCTGCAGGCGATTTCGTAAATGTTTATTATTTTCATTGATGATACCCATTTAAGCATTCAAGAAGTCAAGATAGGCGAACGAACGTTTTCGATTAATTGATCTCTATTAACAGTTCCTGAACTACTTGGGGGACACTCCCCTCCCTCCTCCCTGCCCCCTTTGATCTCTTAACAGTTCCCCTCTCATCACACTCCCCTCCTCCCCCCTGCTCCCTTTGATCTCTCTTAACAGTTCCCCTCTCCCCAATTAAATACCGTTGATTGATTGCTTAATACTTTTCCTAACTCTACCCCTTTATATTATTGTACACGCCTGATGATGAATTAATGGAAAACGTTCGTTCGCCTATCTTGACTTCTTGAATGTTTATTATTTATTAGGTTTTGATAGGGTATAAAGGCCCTCTGGGTTCAAAATACATAGCCTGGCCTAGTGTGGTTTATTATTTCATAGCTATGGAAAGTAATCCTATTATTCCTATAACAACATATACAAAGTTCTTTAAGTGTGGTTTTTTAAATTCAAATTCCCTTTATATATTGAGAGTTGCCTTTTGTTGACTTAATATCACTCTCCATTTGGTTGATAAATATAGGCCTAGGAGAATATTTTTGGCAGAAATTATCTGTTTTTTTTTCTTGCACAACTTTCGCCCCCATGACCTCCATTCCTTTTCTATATGATCCTAGAGTTAGTGGTGGCTAGGGCGACTTAAATATCCCACCTCTGTCATTTATTAGTCTTCAGTGAATTACATGATAAGATAGATGACCGAGATATCGGCAGGTGAGGTGTTATTCTTACTAGCATTTCATGCCAGATAGCCTGGCTTTTTAAAAAGCATTTTAAGGTAGCTATCATTTATATGGCCCCCCACCAAGAGAGGAACCGCCCGTAACACAGATGATCGTGCCCTCAAGTCCCGGAACG